TCTCGACCCCATTCGCGCTTTCATCTTTTACAAACCTAACAACTCGTCAAATCAACCTCAAGATGCGGACTCGCCTGTTTGGAATCTGGAAGATGGTGGAGCCTGGATGACCGTCAACAAATATCCGATTTACGCCATTTCTGGTCAAGAAGGCCAGAATATGATGCGACAACTCAGTTACTATTCAGGCAGCGTGGACGACATACCGTATGGCGAAAATATCAGCACCCTTTATGGCCCGAACCCGAAGGATTATGTCCGTATCTGGACCGAACTCAGCGTTCAGGATGAGTCTGATATTCCACCGCTATGGGCGTTCTTCCTCATAGTAATTGGCGCCTTGCTAGCCATATTTGCATTCGTATCGATAACCATGCACCTTGTACAACGAAGACGACGTATATCACTTCGAAAAAGAGTTGAATCTGGCGAAGTCGATCTTGAAGCCATGGGAATTAAGCGCCTCACAGTACCTGCTACCCATATCACCAGCTTTCCTCTATTTACTTACAACGCGGACCCGGATTCGACGGTGCCTCCTCCTACCCCATCATCTACACGACGCATGCGAAGTAGCCGAGGATTCGACCAGCGGAGCATACGATCCGGTGCCAGTGTCCGGAGCAAAAGATCGAATATCGGAGCCTCGGGCGACAACGCTGCGACGAATTTTCAGCCTAGCTGTCACATCTGCCTCACCAATTTCGAACACCGAGTCACCATCATTCGGGAGCTTCCTTGCGGTCACATATTCCATCCTGAATGTATCGACGAGTTTCTGTCGAAGAACAGTTCTCTCTGTCCTATGTGCAAACATTCAATGTTACCCAGAGGTTACAGTCCAAGGATCACTAACGGAATGGTGCGTCGAGAACGTGCTCTGAGGAAATTACGTCAAAGAGTCGATCTCGAGGATCTATCTGAGGAAGGTGATAATACGAAGATGAAGGACTGGAGTAAACGACTTTTCCGAACTTCACCATCACCTTCACGGCCATCCTCGTCGCCACTTGTGAACTTGAAACTACCCAACTTCAGACGACAGCCTGCTACAAATACAGCGGCGAATGAGGAGCCACGAGTAGAAACGCCATCAGCATCGTCCACCCCTGCACAATCCCAAGAACCAGAAACAGGGCCAGAACCAGAACCAGAAGCAAACACTCGCCCACCAGCTCCAGCCCAGATTCCAAAGACAAGGAGGCCTAGACCTCGACTTTTGAATATGCTCCCAACACAGCCAGAGAATTCCGAGTTGAACACAGATCCAACACCAAGACGTGGAAGCCCTTCTTCGTTTGCTCGACAACGCATGCGTGAAATTGCAGCCAAGAACGCGCCTTTCGACGATCCGGACTCTCAAAGGGCGATATGTAAGTCGTTAATCTAAATGGTCTTAAAAGCTTACACTAACGTGATCACAGGGCTACGAGCACTCTCAAAAGTTTTCCCGGGCTATTTCTAATTCTGCTTTGATAAATATCATGGTCAGAACACATCTCTTGCATTTGATGGGGCAGCATAGGTCAGGCGTTTATGTCATGGGCAGGGTTTTGGGATCTAGGCCGATCTGCTAAGGCCATTGATTATACGACTTTTTTCGGGTACATGGGTGCATTGGAAAGGCATTTAATGAGGCGTTGGTTGGATTTACGAGAATTGTATATAAAGTGCTCGTTGAGAAGATAGGAGGTGCAGAGCAGTGGGCTAGCAATGGCATCCCATCTACTAATTATGTGTTGTCAGAATATGCATCAAAAACCCATATACCCAAACAATATACAATCATGATATGAAGCAATATGAGTAGCACTATGAAATGGCCAAGGTGTTTATATTTTAGATCAGAGTATCGTATGTTTCCAAGAACTAGCTATTCCCCTATATGCACAAGTATTTCTGAGGAGTCAAATCGTTCATATTTCTCGCTCTAGGCACGCTCCAAACGCCAAACATAATCCAAATCCAGTGATTCAAATTCCTACGTTCTGGTTTCTGATCATAATGCACTGTTCAATTCCCTTCACCACGCTTTCCCTTGCCTTCTAGCAACGGCTCATTACGAACTCCGCCTCTAGCAAGTGCATCTCGAACACGATCATTCTCGGCAGCACGAATTCTGCTTCTTGCGTCCTCCAGGCGTTCGACGCCGCGATCAATGGTCTCGATATGCACGCTCAACGGGATTGGAGGTCCACTACCAATACCATTGCGGAGCACCTCTGGCTCAGCAACTCGGTCACGCAAGTCGCCCAGACCAGCTTGAATGCTCTCGAGTTCAAGGATAAGCGCGTTGACCTGTGCAACTGCTGAAGAGCGCTGTGCGTCCACCTGGCGCAGAAGAGCCAGTTGGCGGGAAAGGCTGTTGAGTTTGTTCGAGTTTGCGCCGACAAGTGTCCAGATATTCCAGAGAACATTTTCACGGCGAGATGCTGTATCGGCAGAGGAGCGAGAACTGATGTCGTAGATGAGCATCAGATGATCCTCAGCTTTTGTAAGTAGGCGCAGAACGGCCTGCGCTTCAAGAATAAGGGTCGCGATACGATCCGAGACAAGGGCCGTATGTTCAATATACTTGTCTAGGAGAACTCGCTCGTTGAAGATATGATCTGTAGTTGGCTGGAACGGGTGAAAGAGCCACGACGCCCAGCCAAGAATAGGCAACGGTGAGGAAATCGACTTCCCATCATCTGTTTCTGGGGATAGAGTATCGAGATAACGAGATGTCCAGCGATTGATGCTTATGACAGCATCAACAGCAGACCCAACATGGGTGTTGAACTTTTGCAAGTCCGAAGACGTCTGCCTCGCCGTGTCGATGTAACCGTCGAACTCAAATAGCAACTCGTCGCGAGCTTGTAGATCGCTGTGTCGCACAAGGCTGCGTAAATCTCGGATGGCCGTTTCGGATCTCTTCATCTCGAATGGGAGAGAGACTCCATCAGAGCTCTTTTCAAGAACTTGCTCGAACTTTGACTGAACATTCATGAGATCATCGAACTCAACGGGTGATCCATCGCCTCCCGCAGGCACTATCGTATCCAAAGAAGGACAAAACGGAAGATTCAGTAGCGATGCGCCCGGGATACGGCAAAGAGGAGATAGAGATGCGGCGATAGAGCGAGTTGCCATGTTCTGTGCAATAATAAGGCCACCAAAGCATAGATAAATGGCCAGTAGAATCGCAAAAGGTTTCTGAGCGTAGCGAAATGCCAGCCCGATAACGTTGAGAAACCATGCAAGTGTGTTGTATATCGCCGCTGGGACGCTTTGAGCGATTTGATTTCCAACTGTTGGCGGTGGCTGTTCGCGATATTGGCGGCGATGATATTCATCCTCGGTCTCATATCTTGCGCGCGCATTTCTCTGCTTGGGAGGACTCGAAGGTGGTTGATTTCCTCTTCTCCTCACACCTTCATTGCCGCCATATTCAATGCCCAGTCCTCTTATCGTGCGCTCACTCCTACTTCCATCACTCGCAGTATCGATGCGCGGCATGTGAAATTCTGGATCGGGTGATCGAAAGATTCGCTCTCCGTTTGCGCTCACACTTGCGCGCGAAAGACTCGGCCTGAATGGCTCCCGTAGAATGACCTGCTCGTCGTCTGGGTCCGCCCCAAAGTCGCGAATGCTGTCCTGCGATGCGAAGCTGAGATTTCCTTGAGAAAACGGTTGTGAGGGTATGTTGCCTGAGGATGTAGGTGGTGATGATTCCCCAAGCGATGGGAGGATACTTGTGTCGAAACTGTCGTTCTCCCCTTCAACAAAGCGCCACGAGTCCTCGGGTCGAAGCTCACGCTGGCGCGAAGATACCATGTTGTTCACCTTCGGCGCTCGAGTACGGCAGAGTCGCACACGAGCAGGCGTTACGGTAACGTCGCCTCAGTCCAATAATTATACGAGCTCGACGTCCGGTCGCATCAGATAGGCGATTTGTTTGGTGAAAGTGGTCTATTTATAATGTAGAATGTGAGATAACAATATGCGCCAAGTTAGATCGTGAAGCGCTGACTGGCGCCCTTAGCGTAGGCAGGCGGAAGTTGGTTCTAGGAGCGGTGAGTCATCGGCAGTTGTGATGATCGTTCACGGTGATTGTCGACGGGAGTGCGCTTGATGTTTCAGATCGTGAATGGGTGTCAAAATGATGTTGATGTTGTTAGGTTGTTGTCTTTATGAATGATGTAAGAGCAAGGTCAGGTATTCGAGGCGGCAAATGGAGCTTCATGGCTGAGCGAGGGTAAGTGAGGTCACTAAGGTACCCACCAAATCATAGGTAAGGTACCTGCGGGGAATGACAAAGACACTGGGGATGAAAAGTTACTCAAGTTAGACATGTATTGCTCCAAGTTTAAATCAATTTATTATTTTAATTTACCTTATATCGAATAGCTTATGCAGCATAAATCATAGTCTGCAATTTGTTAAGTCCTTCACTGATCAATCGATACCTGAAGAGTAACTTCTGTCAGTTCTATTGTACTACATGTCAATGTAATTAGTAGACCCTTGTCACGCTGCCTAGCGCCGGTCAACAGCGGGGACATGTAGAGGCTGACCGAGACCTCGTGGTCAATTTATTTTAAGTCTAGGGTATCAACCGTCACCATCTTAATTAGACGTCACAAAATACCCAACATCAACTGCTTTCCAGCTATCAACTTACCAAGACACTTCTGAATTATTACTAAATTTACCTCAGTGGCCAAGTTCTCAGTTTTCGAAAACCTACAATATTGCCAATTGAGTTCAAAAATAGCGAGGTGTTCGAGCCCTAGAAACGTATTCCTGTCTCAAATGCCGAACATGCAACTAAAACTGAGCAAGTAAACCGTGAAGAGTATGTAAAACCGACCTTCCATCCCTCAACCATCTCTCGTTTGTATCATCGATTTGAACGAGACTTAGAAATCCGGATTAAATTCATCACTGTTTCCTCCTCCAGAGTAGGCAAAACTATTATCTACCAAGTTATGTGCATACAAACCAAGGACGCATTGTCGTCACTTCTCAACTTTCACAGAAACCGAGCCTCCCCTTGATTTGTCATCTGAACACCATTCTTCCATGTAAGTATCCGAAACTGAACCTCCTGCGTCGGCTGTTATATCCCAGGCTGTCATATTTCCGCCAGGAGCTGGAGTTAGATTTCCTGCCCAAGCTACAACACTCGTCTCTGGCTCACATTGCAGCGAGTATGATGGCAGCCCCGACCAACCACCCATGTGCTCCAATGTGCGCGACCTGAGCCAGAGAGAGTCCCCCTCGGTTACAGGCGCAGGTCTATAACCAACCGCTGACGTAGCTTGAGAAAGTTCCATATACCCATGCTCATAGCCGCCTCTGCCCAGTGCCTCCATGAAAAAGTCAGATAACACCTTTGACCTGGGCCAGAATTCCCCAGACTTTTTGAGGAACTCTGCCAGAAACAAAACTCTAGATCTGTAATCTGGCTGCCCTGCACCATGGAGCACAGCATGACGCAAAGTTGAGGCTGCTTGTTCCAAATCAAGTAGACATGAAGGGGAGAACTTCTCTGGTACAAGCTGAGAACCAAGAAGAGCCATCAGACGCAATGTTGGTTGGAGAACCACTGGTAGCGGAGCGCCATGTCCTGTAGCAACACTGTGAAGTAATGGAGCCGCGACATGTTCATCCCAGTGTCCGTAGAGATGAGCCTGCATCCGGATCTCGAGTCTTTAGAGAGATTTAGCCATCTGAAAACGACGTTCTAGGGACATTTGACTTACCCAAAAGAGACCGCTAACTACAAGATAAACTGTGAGTAACCGAACTAGCCCCTGAACAGGTCAAAGAACTTACCGCATGGTATAGGATCATATCAAACATACCATCTTCCCCAACGCGATCTTTCTTTAAACCGCCAGGAATCGATAAGCTGACTTGCATACCTGAGGTTGTGCCGGGTTGCCTGATTACAATCATTAAGAAACGGTGCCACATGAACATCGTATATACGAATAATATCAATGAAGTAGGCCCAAGAAGAGTGCTCGCGAGAGAGGCTCAGGCGATCGTACTCTTCAAGAGTTATTGAGGCTGGAATATTCTAATGGAAAATCAGCGTGAAGTAGCTACCTCGAACAAGAAATACGTACCCCGGCCTGGTAGTCCCAATCCTCACACGGAAGTCCTACCACAAAACTGGGTCCAGGAGGGTAGAGTGTTAAGTAAAGCTGATTTTGTCCCAAACCAAGCAGCATCTCGTGTGTATATAATCCCCAATATGTCCGGCGGCATGATTCAGCGAGGACTGGGTTTGTTGCCCTATCCGCGAACTCTCTGCTCTGAAGTTCTAAATGAGAAGCCAGCGCAGAAGCTTTGTTGAGCATGATTTTGCTAACGTTGCCAGGGTGTCTCCCGAATTCTGCAACAGAAAGACACAGCAGTGCTTGAACGGACCAGATTGTTTGGGAAAGAGTGTCATGCGACATTCGGTAGGCATTCTGTTGTAGCTGTGTCTTGTCGACATTGTCCAAGTATAGAGACCCAATGTAGGTAACTGTGGCCACGAGGAAACGTAAGTTTTCTGGCTGCGTTTAGCAGAAATCCTCCAGTTTCTTTCTTGGGGGCAGCCAAGAGTGGGTGACGTGAAAGTGGGCATAGTAGAGGTCGAATGGACGTATGGTACTGCAAGGTGTGGAAGGTATCATTTGGGGAAACGGAATGCCGGGCTCAACAAGGTCTGACGACGGTGTGCTCTCCATAGTATCATCTTGATCGGTCACCAAAGTCTCTTCCTCCTTCATACTTGTCTTCTTTGATTTTCGGCATCCTCGACGTGACTTGGTGTAATGACACGGTTTGCCTTCTTCTTTGCATCGAGTGCATGGCGTACCTCCACCGCACTTTATATGCTTATAACGGCAAGGATCGCAAGCTGAAGAGACGCGCTTCTGGACTTTTGAGGTTCCCGTACTAACTCGTTTCTGACTGGAGTTGAGTCCAACCCCTAGTGAAACTTCGTCTTGTGAGGAACTTGCCATAGCTTGATCAACGGACTGGATCTTCGAGGACGACGAAAAAAGGTCTCAAGACCCCGTCCTGTTTTGATTAGTTGGTAAACTCCAGTGGTAAGGCCCTACAAGTAGGCTAGAGTCTATAAAGGATGTGTCGTGGCACCGAACCAAGCTTGTTTGTCAAGAACCAACAGGTTGAACAGGTTTGTGGTAAGTGCCGGAGCCATGGAATATATGCACGCAGAATAAGGAATTAGAAATGGAAAGAGATGGATGGAACTACGAGTTCAATACAAATACATGGTACTAGTGCAACATGGTGGAGGCGTAGGGCAGAGAAGATGGTCGTCAGGCTTAAACAAAAGCAAATCATCCAATGCATCATGATTGGAAGATGTGGGTAGTTGAGTTAGATTCAAATCTCAGAACCATGTTGCAATACCTGACTCCTCCAGTCATGTCGGCCCCAGGGAGGTATGTGGCGTGGATATGGGCTCCCAGTCGAGGACCAGGTAGGGGAAGATCTGTCAAAAAGGGCCGCCTGCATCTCCACGTCGACCTTTATCCATTGAGAGTTATGACAGGTGTGACCTAGAAGACAGACGCAAGTGACCATGTTACTGGTCTGACGTTCTTTGGTCGCAAATCAAGAGTGAAGAGGGGCAAAGAATGGGCCGCCCCCGACTCAACAATGGCAACTCTGGCACAAGAACCGGGTTGCTGGTGCATCTGGCACTCGGGGATTTTCACATAGACATACTAGACAGCGTGTGTGTGTGTCGTTTGATTATGCGTTCAGGGGTTGTCGTTAAAGTGAAGTCTAACCAGCAAAGGCGGGCTGGCCTATAATGTTGGACAGCTGTTGAACCATCGCTCGGGGCGGGCCTTGCAAAGCTCCCGTCTCTCTTAAGACAGCAGGCAATATAGTCACTAAGAGCAGCCACTGTCTCAATAGCTAGCAACTCGGGCTCTAATTGTTTGAATGGGTATCCACAGAGGAGGAGATGCCTGGTCGCCGGCTGGAGGATTCACGTTTCTGACGTGTAGGAAGTCAACAGAAGAGTCGTGATGCAGATGCAAGCGCAGCACAGCCAATATAAAGATTGCTTTTTCCAAAGGAACTCTGTGTAACACAGTGCCCATGCAGCTAGTCGTTTGTCCCAGCTCCCAGGTGTCTGGGACATACTGGTTGCATACAGGGCTATCGGAGATATCATAGCGCCATTGATTGCTGGTCGCTGGTCAATCCTCAAACATACATCCATAGCTGAATTCTGCCAAGTGAGTGTGGCTTATCTTTCCCTCGAAGCCTGGTTAACATTTGGTTTGTCGACGATTTGTGATACTCTCAGAACGAACATGATTTGACGGTATCAGCCCAAGTTTGTTGGATGAAATGTGCTTTGCAGAGTAGAGGCACAGAAGTTTTGAGACGGTTTGTGACGAGTTGAGCCGCACTTGGCATCTCAAGTTCTGTGTAACTGCCCTCTCCTCATTGGAGCAAGGGGGAAGGAGAGGACTTGCAGCGGGAAGGGGTCACGGCGTATGGTCCGGCCCAGACGGGGACAGAGACACACAGTGGTGCTATATGACTAAGAAAAAGACTCGGGTAAGTTCAGCATAAATTCAGGAGACTCCTAGGCTAGTTAATCTTGGCACCTCACCATAACGTCAGAAGTTGTCCCGCTCTCTGAGGGGAAGAGTAGAAACAAGCGCTAAGGCAAGTCTCAGTGCGCGTGAGAACAAAAAGTCCGTAGGTAGGAATGGACTTGGGCAGACTCCAGAGGCACGAGGGAGGAACATGCACGGTACGGTAAAGTAGCCGATAAGGCCTAGGCACTGTAACACCTCGGCTCGGCTTCTGCTCGACAACCCCCGGCCCTGGCGTCATGGGGGGGTTTTAGCATTGGATGGGCCCCCACAATCCCCAGATGAGATCCAATGCGATGCGCTGAGACGAGCTGAATGAACTGCGTGCTTCCTTTTTGCTTTTATCACCTGCAACGAACCAATGCTCGCTCTATCCAGCTGTAACCGGATCAACCCACCGCCAAACCGACCGATAGACTCCCAATCAAATACCCGAAACTCGACGAACGCCCTCATCCTCATGCAGGTCAAATGACCGACTCGAGCTTCGTCCAAGCCCAACGCCGCGTCGCTGCGCGTCGCCAAACCCGTGAGGCCGAAGCTGCTGCTCGCATCGCTGCACAGAGGCAATCTTCTCGACCTAGAGCCAACCTCGAGCGCTTACCTTACCCCCTAAATCGCATAGGATCTGCCTGGGATGCTGTGTCGACAAGGGAGGGCACGCGCCCTGCATTTCGAGTAGGACAAGTCGATGCCGAACTGCTCGATGTAGAGCTCTTGGACATTCTCAAGGACCAGGTTTGCGAGGGTCTAAAATATTTTGGTGGAGGGCATCTGCACGATGACTGGTCGGCTGAGATCATGTTGGCTCTGAGGGCGATGCTTTTCAAACTCACTGTCTGGGACCACGATGCCACATACGGAGCGGCTCTTCAAAACCTCAAATATACCGACGCCAGAAACGACGGGCTTATACTCAGAGCACCCTCAAAGGTGCAGAAATCGCTCTATGGACTTGTCACAGTATTTGGAAACTATGCTTGGACGAGATGGGAGGACTGGCTTCTGGAGCATGACGATGGCTACGACGAGCCAAGTCCCCGACTGAAGCGACTATCGAAGCTGACATCTGCCCTCTCAACTGTTCACTCGGCAGCGGCATGTGTCTCATTTCTCGTCTTCTTACTGCATGGACGATATCGAACCCTCCTTGATAGAATTCTCAGAATGAGACTTGCGCCACCCACAAGCCAAGTAAGCAGAGAGGTCTCATTCGAGTATCTCAACAGGCAGCTTGTCTGGCATGCCTTCACCGAGTTTTTGCTTTTCGTACTACCCCTGATCGGCATCCAGCGATGGCGACGCTGGTTGACCAGGACATGGCGGAAAACAAAAGACATTATCAGAACGGGGCCTCAGGAAGAGGGCAAGGCCAATGGTGAATACGCGTTCCTCCCCGAGAGGACATGCGCAATTTGCTACCAGGACCAGAATACAGCAACTTCTGAGAACGAAGTGATGGCAGCAGCAGCATCCAGTGGTGTTATTGGCTCAGCCCAGACAGACATAACCAACCCATATGAGACAATACCTTGTGGGTGTGTATACTGTTTCGTCTGCTTGGCTACTCGATTGGAGAGAGAAGAGGGCGAGGGCTGGACCTGTCTACGTTGCGGTGAGCACGTCAAAGAATGCAAGCCTTGGAGTGGTGACTTGGTTGAGCCGTCCGCAAAGCATGCTTCAGCCAAGACGGTGGCTTTCTCAGATGATATTACCGGGGGTGTGCTTGTAGATGAGCAGGATGATGAATCGTTCGTAGAGAGTCTGAGCACAACCTCAGAGTGAAGGGTTATGAGAGGCGTTGATCTGCGGCATTAATGGACATGTAAGGATAGCTATACTTTGTAATATCACGGGCACACAGCGAATGCGATGTTGTTCTACTTTCTTCCATTACTCACTGCCCAATTCTCCCACTCACAGTGCAACATATATAATTGGTGGAGTAGTCCCCTACTACCTCGAACCCCCAGAACGGTATGCTTATGAACGGAGAAAGCAAAAGAAAGTCTTGATCAAGAAGTGACTCGATGGATAAATATAAAAAGATTCGAATTTTACGAAAGAGAATCTGATAGCTGAATGCCCACTCCAAGTTCCTCAGAAGGACCTGAAGGGACCCTGAAATAGGTAGCCTGCCCACATATCCATCCTCTGAAGGCCACTAACAAGGGTAGCGCGTCATAGCAGGGGAGATGGGACTTGGACCCCTGTTCTACTCCTACCATTATCAGCCGAGATACGGACCAACATCAGCCCAATCTAATGCGTGGACAAAACAACACCAACTTCCAAGTTCACGAGACCGACATTTCACCATAATCATTCTTCTAATACTCGACGGTTCCAATTAACGTGCCTTGGAGACGTCATCCATCGACTTACAATTCAGAATACGCCATAATACATAATCGAAGCCTTTCAATGTAGCCCGATATCACAACTCGATTACGCCAACTCCCTCCCTTCATCCCATGCCCAGCTTCTTTCAGTTCACGCAGGGCACCGAGTCGCACGTCCGACCCAACGACTCGGCCCCTCTCCTAGGCCGCTTCCGCGCTGTTCCTCCGCGTCCTGGCGTGGTATCTCGAAGGCGTAGTCAACTTGGCCTCTTCTCGAATACCACAGACAACAGAGGCAGCGTGCATATACTTGGATACGGTGCTTTTCCTGCAGATGACGACGACACGGACAGTGATTATGACCTCGAGGATGACAGGAGTTTATGGCAGCGTCTTTGGCAACGATGGGTGTTGGATATTTGGGTTGACCCGAGACAGTCGGCGGTGAAGAGGGTCGTTGATAAGTGGTGGAGTCGGTATGCATTTCTGGTGTTGATGCCGGCCTTGTTGGTATGTGTTGGAGCTCCGATGAAACAACAAAGAACCAACTGACTCAAGAATAGGCTGTGGCGTGGTGTTCCATACCCTTTCCTCAGTATAGAATTCCTGACGACCAAATGGGTGATGGGGACGAGGATAGACTCCCCGACGGATCTAAGACGCCTGGTCACGGAGCTGCCCGAGTCCAGGTCAACTTTTGGTTCTTTCTATTCGTCTACTATGGTTTCTACAACCTTACTGCTCTTATCTGGATCACGAAGGTGTTCAACCTTTACAGCCTCAACTGGTGGCCCCAATCTCTGGGATTCCCGCTGACCGTCTCACTCATCGCCATCTTGTCCATTGCCGTCCCCATACCCATGTATTACAATGATAGGGCGCGTTATTTGCTCGTCCACAACACAGCATGGATTTCATGGACCTTCATCATCATGGCGTTGCCTGTCACGATCGCCTTTATCATTCTCACGACTAACGAGCGGCACATCGGGCTTCGTCACTCGCTATCAGAAACTCAACGAATCTTTACCACGTCCTGGTGGACCGGAGAGCCAGACACGTTCAACGGTAGGGACCGTCGGCGCCGCAACGTCACGGCTGATCTATTCGATGCAGATGCAACTCAAGTTGAACCTGAGTTGAGGCCACAGGGCGTTAGGATGCGCCGACTGTGGTTGCCAGCAAGCTTTGTGCGATTCTTATGGTTCTGCGTTGCTCTGTTTATTGGCCTCATGGCATACGTGATCGGAGAGGCATATGCAGAGATTTACCTCCGAACCTTGCCACACAATAACTTGGAGACAGTAGTATACGTCTATGGCTGGGTTGCAACGGTGCACCTGCTGGATGCGTTGAGCGGCTGGGTGCTCGGAATCCGAGAGGGTGAGCGTGTTGGAAGCTATCCTCTGAGCTGGATCTTCAAACTGTAAGCCTTGATATATGCAGATGCTGTTATTTCCACGACTGACACCACATCCAGATACTTCATGTTGACCTATCAGATGTACGTTCGTGCGCTATATGCACGACTGCGCTCACCACAGCAATTCATAACCCTCCAGATCTTGTCATCAACAGGTCTGGTTGTCATCACCCCCATTATGATGACCTCCTTCGTGCACAAGCTCTTGACAATTCTTGGGCTGAACTCACAAAGCTTTGGTTCATACCAGAAGCTCCAGACCCGAAATGTCTTCATCCGCTTTCTTGCCGAAAACGTCTCAATGGTTGCATTCCTTGGAAGCATTCTAGTACTGCATTTCGGAGCCAACAAAGACGTCTACCCATATTTTGCGTTCGATACGGAGGGAGAGGACTACAACTTTGGCCTCACCTTCTACGCCTCATCGGTAACGTGGGCGTGTGAGTTGGTGGCGAGTCTTGCCGTGCGGGGACTCATCCGACTATGCTTCCAAATCGATGTCGGCTTGGAGGGGAAGCTGGACTTGGCTGTCTGGCCAGAGTTGATGCCAACCTGTGTGGCAGTTATGCTGCACGTGCTGCAGAACATGCTATTTTCCATCATCCGACTACAGTTTCAGTGAGTGGAGAAAGGATCTACTGTGGTCTGGTGTGAAAGAGGACCGATGATCCAGGGGCTATTTTTCATAAAGGATTGATGATTGAGAGGGTCGGAACGGCCCGAGAAAGGTTGCCGAGAGGTGCGGCTATTGAGATGGTGCACCCATCGACATTCACACCCGCGTAATGGACAAAGAGTCTGGATGTTTGGCCTCTGCTTTGCTTTTCTTGTTTTTGTCACTACTAAACTGGGAGTTGTTGTCTTGAGTTGTCTTTCGCTGGAGCGACTTCTTTGCATAAGGTACTTTGCGATGGCTTTGGACTGAGGAGGTTGTACTCTTGATCCAAGTCAATACCCATTAGAACGTTTCTAGAGAGTTTTGATACGTTTCATCTTTGTTATAACGCATTAGATACCACATACTGTTTGCCGACGCGTCAGTCGTGGCCGTTAATAGTAATTCCGAGTTGGAACTTCTGAAGTGGCACGGGATGGCGACCATTCTAGATTGTTACATATATCAACTTGTGTATGCAACTATATTGTTTCGGGACTTGCAAGCCGATAACGATTGGGCGACGGAGTTCAAATAACCATTTCCCGTGCCTTGTGTTTCATAAAGTCTATCTGGCAGAAGCAAACCTGGGTCATGATTGGGTCGGTGCAGCTTCCGTAGAATGGTCCTTTTGAGACTCCATATTGGAGATTGAGATACTTGCTTAGGTACTGCCTGGTGTCTTTCATACCAGAGCCGATGATGTACTGCAGCTATGGGAGGTTCAATCGGCTTGCCAGCCAACTCTCGAATTATCTGGCTCGCAAGCGGGCTGTCCCTAAACCGATCGCTCGTATTGTCTCGAGAGCAGTATACGGTAGCTCAGATTGGCTGCGTGCTTATGTTGATGCCTGCATAACAGTTGTACTAGACTGGTGCGATGGACCCAGTTCTATCAACTCCATCCATGGCGACATCGCCCATCGAGAAAGATGGAGACACTTGTATCAAAACCTCGCGCCGAGCGGCCCGTAAGGGCGCCAACACAGAAACGCGCACCTGCGGCTAATGCAAGCCCCAACCAGTCTTTTCCTCGGTGAGTGAGTACAACAAACGGCGGTGTAAAATAAATCAATAACATCAACAACCGGTCAATATGGCAGAGGAAGGAGAACTGATGACGCGGCGATGAAGGGGCAGCCGGTCAGCGAATGCTGGAGGGCAGGATATGCAAGACATTGGGTGGAGAGCTGGGGAAGCATGAGGCACAGCATATAAAGAGGAACCACAACGACGACGCCCAAGGCCAGATAGTGCGCGACACCGATAAGGCGATGTATTCCGGAACGGTTAAGAGAGAAGAGAAGAGATACCGAAGCAGGTAGGTAGGTCGATGCAGAGGGCGGCACGAATGCAGCCGCACATCGCATCGCATCGCAGCGCATCGCATCAAAGATGCAGAAAATTGCTGCATGTTTTTCAGGAAACGAACCTGGTGGCTGGGATCAGGGCTGAAGGAAGAGATCGCAGCGCAGCACATGCGCTGGCTGGTGTGGTTTGAAATGGCTTGGTGTGGTCGGGCACAAGCTCGTGATTCGTGATAGTGACTTGCAGTGAGCTGAAGCGGTAATCCTCAACCGTCTTACATGTCGCTAGAGACTAGAGAGCTCAAGTTGCGTCCTGTTTCGATAGGTCGCCGGCTAAAAAAGAACCATGTCCTATCTTATGCGGGTGAAGCGTAGGTAGTGTAGCGTAGTACCTACGCTTGACAAGATACCTTAGACATCTGCCTGGCCTGAAGGTGCGTATAGTGTGCCTCATCCTCAGCAGTAAGAATCCAAATTGGGCACAGAAACGGTCTCAGTTATCAGGGCCTGTGGGGTTGCATTGTAATCGGCATCAAGGAGATAGCAATCGATCAGTCATGATTGAAAACGAAGATGGGGTCTAGGCTGCGCAGTAAAGACGAGATCAGCATATTTCAACCCTTGATAGGCATCGCAGTTGTGTTATCTTGGCATGATAGAACGTCGTTCGGGAGCCTGGCGAACCCGAGCCAGTAAGCTCGGCCTAGTAGGGCCTCGGTTTGGCCATAATGGATTCATCGAGATGCTCGCTCTCTGTCATGTTCAAAGATTGGGGCAGAATTGCGATATCGTCTCATTTGACAGAGGAGCAAGCTTGAAAGGAGCAATAGCATGTGCTGCGAGACCCTCTACTGTAACAACGTCTGCCTAAGTTACAATGCAGGTATGAACCCATGCAAGGAAATTCGATGCCGTAGAGTAGCAATGTGAATGGCACAGCTGCATATAAAGAGCGGATAAGCGTGGGGAGAGCTTGATAGAGGGTTGCTAAGAAGCACGGATTTGACCATCTAAAAACACCACGATTGAGAAGTCATGCGATCTAAAAATAAGAAAAC